ATATTGAAAAAGGTTAGAATATGATGTTATCATTCCTATGCCATACTAATGATTCCTTCCAATAGAAAACAAACAAAATCATAATCAATTTAGATACTTTAAAAAGATTAGGGACCCAATTCTTACAACTAAAAAGTTTAATGCCTACAAAAAAAAAAAAGAAATTGGGGATTTTTTAAATCTATTGATCAATGTGGAAAATGAAGGCCCAATTCACTGTGTCACGTGAGAGTACTGCCTCAGCAATAGAGAGGAAAAACTTCCAAATCTCAACCAACTTCAACAACCGAACGTATCTTCCATCTTGTTCAAAGTTTGAAATTTTTTTTTTATACATTGTTATGTATATTGTTTAGTTTAATATATTATACAATATATTTATTAAAAAAATATTTTTAAAATTAGAGGTGAGAAAACGTAAAACTATAAATTTTAATAAGTAAATCGATAGATAACTAAATCGATAGATATTAATAGATATGTTGATTTAAAAAGTATATTAATCATTATTTGTCTTAGAAAAATAGATTTTTAAAATTTTATCTTTAAATTAAAAATTTGAGACAATTTTTATTTTAACTTATTTTACCCTTTTAAAAAAAATAAAGATTTTTTTATGATAAAAATAATAATTAAAATTAAGAAATAAATATAAAGTTAAAGTAAAAAAATATTTTTTTAAATATAAAAATGACTATTATTTTGAAATAAGTAATTAATAAAAAAATATTTATTATTCTTAAAGAGAGGGAGTACTACTAATAAATAACCAACCTGAGGTTGTAGCTCCCTTAGGTGTAGTGGTCTCAGAGCTCGCTGGTTCGAGTGTCACCATTGATGTTTCCTCATTCTCTACCCATGTAATTTTCAACCTCAAAAAAAAACAAAAAAAGTAAATAAAATCAATGCTAAATTAAATAAAATTTAGAGGAGCAGAACTCAAATCTAAAATTTTAAGATTTTCGGAGTCCGGGCTCACTCTTATACCAAGATTTTATTGTAAGAAGCTAAAAACGAATTAACTGAATGAAAATTAATTTTTTTTTTTTAAAAGTTTAAAAATTATCACCAGCCAAAACGCAGAGGTTTCAGGTGACCTGATTCAATGAACTCGCTTCTTTTTGTTTTAAAAAATAAATAGATACTCTATTTTCCTTCTTTATTAAAAAAAAAGAGTTTAATAATCAGAGGAAGTGCGTCACAGGTGTCTGGCATTCTGGCAGCAGAATAGCATAACCTACAGCATTGCATTGGCCCGCTTATTTAAAGCACCAATCATACTCAACCACCCACTTACATTCTTTTTATCCAAACAGTTGTCATTCGTCACTGGCTTTAGAATTCCTAATCATATTTTGTTCGACATTGAGTGGCTACAAGACGTGTCACGCTTCCATTGAGCACATGAAAAAGTAAGCTAGGGATTGTATCATGTTGTCCCTAAGATTAAGTCATTTAACTTTTAAAATTAATATTTTAAAATGTATTTTTTTAATGTCCTAATTATTAAGTTATGAGGTTAATATTTGTCTACTTTACTTTTAAAAAATTTAAAAAAAATGACAAAAATCATCTAATATATGCTTTAAAAATAAGGTATTTTAACTTTTTTTTAATAAAAATTTATTGAAATAACATAATTTTAGAATAATTTTCCTCATTATCATTAAGAAATAAGGCTAATAGGCACTATTTCTTTAAGTTACTGTCAATTATTTAAATAATTTAGTAATTATCTCTTTTTATTGAAAGTAAAAAGTTATGAGTTTAAGGAAAAATAAGGGATGAGAGATAATTGTTTCCTATTTACAATCGAAAAAAATACTAAATTAGTATGAGAATGCAAATATTTAAAATCACTTGTGAATAATTAATCTCAATAAATATAAAAATTAATTTGATAACACCTAATTATAAATATAAAAATAATAACTTCATGATGTCCCTTGGTTAAGGTTTGATATAGCTTAGTTGCCGTCCCAGGTAGATTCGCAAAATTGCATGATCTTCTTTGATTAAGGTTTGGGTTGTCACGGTGACAATTGAAATATCTCCCCCTTTTCCCATAAAAATTCCCTATGTACAGAAAAGAAAAAAAAAAGGAGTTAATTAAGCTGATATAACCTTTTGTTTTCTTCAATGAATTTGAACTTTACCTATATTTCAACTTTACCTTTGTAATTTCTTATAGCAATTAGGCGACACTTAGGATCAACTTTATCATAGATTTCTTTTGTATACCATATTAAGTTTACCATAATCGGTTAAAGATTAATTATTTCGGTCATACTAAGACTAAAATTTTACCATATAAAATTAATATTTTTATTAATCTCTTAGAAATCAAACGCTAATTAATAAAATAAAAAGTAAATCTCAAGTTAACGGGTCCACAACCTTTTGGTAGCTTTTATACAGTAATTATCAATGCCCATTTTAACAAGAATCTATGTACTTTCGGTTAAAATTCACCTCATTTCAACGATTTGAAAGTTTGTCCTTTGATCAACACAAAAAAGGTCGGTGCCTTTCATTCAAAAATTTAGACAAGTTGTTTGCCTAGTTGTAAGGACTAAAGAAATATGAAAATGTTAAAAAAAAGGAAAAGAAAAGAAAAAGAATGCATTCTAAACTGTGCTCTATGCATTAAATTAAATTCCATATAACATAATTGCATATGGAAGATCCTGTAAAATCTTCACCTGAAGCAAAAAGGCAGAATTATTGGAGCTCTTATGGATATGCACACACCTACTCTAAATCACGCTCTAATTTTCTTTAGACTAATTGATTGCATGGCACATACCAAACCATTACCAGGACGAATTAGGGGATCATGGATCCTGCCTCAAAGAAGAGAAATCAAAGAAAAAGGACATGCCTTTACTAAACTCAAGTTAAAACAAGAATCCAATGTCAGGGGTTAAATTATATTATGTCTATCACGAAGTATTGTGTACTTTATTTCTCAGATATTATTGTTACTTCTTAAAAAGCTTTAATGAGGAAAAAGATTTACCCCTACTTATAAGACATCGTGCAAAAGTTTGAGATGTACTGTATACTTTTAGTATTAGACAAAATAGCCATTAATTAATTGTTGTGCAATGTTGGATCTTTATGTAAACAAGATAAAGTGGAATGGTATATCATCATTTCATTTGGGGTTTTGTTCCGAAGCAACGTGGCTTGTCTGGTTGGTTCCATGCATCTGGATCCTATGATAGTCCTTCTCATCGACGCAACATGCCATGTTGTCCGAAGGAAACCCTTCTTGGTGAACATGCCTTGTCTTTGGGTTATAGTTTTTTAGATTGGGATATTTCACCTGATAATTCAGGAACACCCCCCCTCCCCCTCGTCAACTCATGCAGATTTAACATTTGATTAGATAAAATGAGATTAATGTTTTGGACATACTAAGCATATTTGGATTTACTTCAATTCTATAATAAATAAAGAAAGCTCCAAATAATTGGCATTATCGACTGGTTCATGTTTGTGCAAAGTGCTGGAAATCTTGATGTGCTCATTCAGATATGTTCTGGAAGAGCATTGTATAAGGCTTCTACGTACATTTCAACAACGAAGGAAGGATAGTGAGGGAAGTGAACAGAACCAATATCTCCTTTTCTGATTCCGATATTTAATATGAATCCTAGAATCAGCTCTGCATATTGAAGGCAATGTCCTCTCTAGCCATAACCTTGTTGCATCAGATTCATTTTGTGCGTAATGGCAAAACAAAATAAGAACAGGAGTTCAGTCTATATGGACACATATTAATTTGTTTTGGGGAATGTATAAGACTGTCCCTCGTTTTGTCCATGGCAAAACTGAATATGCCATGTTTGGTGCAGTATTTTTGATGTCTCGTATTGACTCGCCCATGCTTTATTTCTTTCCAAATGATCTCAATAGAACCTCATTTCATTTGATGTCAATTTTTTTAAGTAAAAGTGGATATATGAACTTATTTGACAACTACTTAAAATTTTAAAAGTTAAAAAAAAAAAAAAAAATATAAAATGATAAATTTATAATTATATTATATGTTTTATAATAAAAAATATAAATTCGCCATCTATCCAAAACAGAAACATGAATTGGGGATCTTCTTACTAGAATTTATTTCATGAACCTTCAAATCTAAAATACTGAATGCACACTTTTAGTTTTTCGTAGAGATATTATGAGAGTGGCCAATCAAATCTAGCTATAACCATGGCGAGGAAGATGCTAAATGATGGAGAGCTGACTACCCTCCATCACTGAGTCCCTCTACGTAATTTGTTGCTGGAGCTAGCACTCCTGCAAACCTATGTCTATTGCATATCAACCCGGAAATCATTCAACACCCCAGAAAATCATTCAACACCCCAATTTCCCTAATGGGTCATTAAGGCTCAGAATAAAATTCGCTTCTTTAGTACCATACAAAAACAAAATCAACTCCTCATTTAACATTGGTAATTAGAACTAAGAACTAACCTTAAGCCTATCATTAAGTTGATTAAGAAAACTTGGCAGCACCAAGAAGCATTGTAATGTGAACATCATGCCCACTGGCATGCATTCTGCTCTCGATTTTGCGCTTGTGCTCCCACTGAACAAGCTCCCACAAACAATGAAGCAAATTAAAGCAATATGTTTCAGAATCGTGAAACAAAGGAGAAAATGGAACCAAGGAACTTATTCGTCTGAGTGGAAAGAGTTCAATTCTCTTAAATAAGATCTTAAGTTCAAATTTTATTAATAAAAAAATAAGTGTCTGAAGAAATTCTTCCTACAAAATCTAACTTGGTTCGAGCCAAGCCAACATGATTATTAATTAGTGGGAAATTAATAAAAAAATTTTAAAAAAAGAAGAAAATGGAACTGGGATTGCAATTACTTACTTTCATGGGCAGAGCACCGATGTCAGCCCGGAGAGCGACGACGGGGCGAGACTCAGAACCAATTTGGGCACCGACGCCGGTTTAGGGAAGTGGGTATGTGCCAGGGAGCTCTTGTGGACGAGAGTACAATTTTTAGTAAAGATACTAGATGTGAACTTCAAGGGGGTGGTGGCGCAGTTGGCTAGCGCGTAGGTCTCATAGCTAAAGAGTGATCCTGAGGTCGAGAGTTCGAGCCTCTCTCACCCCATTAATACCTTTTCCATCTAGTTCAGAAATTAGAAATGAGTAATTATGCACCCTTATTTCAAACATAGAAAACATGCAAATTCTTTTAAGTTAAATAAATTTAAACATATCTCAAGCATAATTAGGACAAGCATTTTGTTTTTTATCTGCAAAATTATGACAGCATTTTGACACTTAACGTATGTAACAAACAGAGCAATTTGGCAGCTTTCACTCACCAGTACAAAGGCCACATCATTTGTAGCACATTCATCACCAGAATGCTCATCTGAATTTTTGAGTATAGAATTCAAGAAATCAGAAACATAATCATCTGATTCATTCGAGCCATTCTGAAACTTTGAATAGGCGATACCGTGACAGCAATAACGTTCCTAGATGAATCATCCAAACAAGGATCGAGATCAGCTGGATTCTCTTCAACTTGTACTTCCAATATTGGAGATTCCTGAGCAATTTCTAACTCAGATTGCACATCTTCGGTGTATTTGGATGTGGTAGGAGAAATATCAGCAGGTTCAGCTTCATCACCATTTGAACCTTCAATGATCTCATCTTTCTTGTATAAACAACAGGGTACGAATGCACCCTGTATGCAGAAATTCATCAAAATTATCAGAATCAACATCCCACTAGTTTTCTATACTAAACAATTCTAATAATGCATTGCTAAGATTAACCATGTGTATGATGATTCAAGAGTTTTGTTGCTGCATAAACTCTCGAGTCATTCCTTTGACCAATTTCGTGTGTCTTGCATGATAGACTTGAGCTGGGACCTCGATGGTGGCAGAGATTCTGGAATGAGAAGCTCCAAACAATATTAATTATAGGAAGAGAACATCAACTACCTTTCTAAGGAGGTACTTAAAGGATATTTATAGCCAAAAGAGCCTTGGGGTAGTTCACGTAGTTGTATTTGGATGGTTCAATTATCATGCATCCGTGGTCTGGATTCTGGCCAAAAAGTAATGAATTGTGCCTTATTGACCTAGTTTAAAGTGTTGAGTTATTGTCCCAACACATTTCGTTAGCATTTCTATGTACAGATATTCATTAATGAAATGTGCAAAACACAACCAACAAAGAATATCAATACCCTTAGTGATTCAAAGCAATTGTAATACCTCAGCCAAATAAGATTTCTCGCAAAATTGCCAATATTGTTTAACCAAATTTAGTAGTGAAATTTCTAGTCTTGTTTTGTTCCGATTTTACATAATAACAACAATAACAAATGAAAAGCATGTTTCATCCTCAATTATATGAAAAAAATATACAAATTCTTCTTAAATCCGTCTTTGCGACTAAAATCTGTTTGATGTAACCAAATTCATCATTTTGTAAGTGACATTTAATCCAGAATCGTATTTATCACAACTTTACAAGAACAACTGAGAAAGAAAAAGTGGAAAACCTACCTGTCTGGATTTGGTGCCATCAAGCTCAAGCTCATCAAGGACAGTGCGCGACAATTAAGCATAACCGAATTGGTCCATAACAAAAACATTGACTTGGCATATGGTCCCCTTCTTAGAATTAAAATTTTCGTCTATAAACTCTGAAGATGCCACTGCAGGTGCTGTATTGTGTGTGGGAGGAGTGTTGATTATTAGTTTGTAAAAGGGAGTTACATTCAGTTAACAGCTTAGTACCCTCCATCAAGTCAAGCTTAATGGAAGAAACAGCTTATTACTAGCAACTTAGCAACAGAGTCTATGAGTGCTGTAGGTTCTGGCTTCACTTCATAAATGTCTATTTCTTATTTTACCGTATGGATTACAAAATAATAATTCTTAAATAGACGATAACCTTAATATTAAGGGGTTTGACTCTATTCAATGGTTTAAATTGTGAAATCTATATTTTTTTTTTGATAAGTCAAAATGTATTAATATAGAGTACAAGGGGCACTTCTATCTACAAACAAATTTTATATAAGGGTTGTTTTCTCACATAAAAATTGTGAAAAATAGATTTTTAAAAGGAAGAGAACAGATTTCTTCTTTAACCCAGCTCTTGTGTAATCTATTATAATACAAATCACACAACATATTTTTAAAAGGAAAAGTTTGTCAATTACAAATAATTTTGGGAAGACACCTTACAAGGAATGCAGTTTTCTTGATTGGCTATTGTTCCATGGTAAGCGGTGTTATATATATGTTTCCTCTTTATTTGGCATGAAACTGGAATGAAGCACAAATGTGCAATTGAACTTCCCCTCAAACAGCATTTACTAAATCAAAATTGGCCTCATTATTTCCTATTGGAATAGGAAAACAAACATAATTTTCACTAAATAAAATATTTTATGAGCCAATGGACAATTGGGTGGAAGAGCAGTTGGCTAGCGCGTAGGTCTCATGACTTTAAAGTAATCCTGAGCTCGAGAGTTCGAGCCCCTCTCACCCCAAAGTTGTTTTTCCTTTCTTTGCTTTGTTTTCGCACAATGATGGTTTACAGATCTTCTTCTTTGGGCGAAAGTAATACTACTAAATTAATCTACTCATAATTATAAATCATTTAAGAGATATACAAAAAAACCATTAAGTAAAAAAACAAAAAGTTACAAAAATGGTTATGCAAAAACTAAAACAGGATCCTCTAGTACTATAATCCTAAATCCTGATTAGCAACGCAAAAAGGAGAACTACATGCAAAAATATACAGGGATACAGCGTGTAATAGCAGGTTACAGTTAACACATTACTAGACATTCCACATCCTAGCCAAAACCAAGAAAAAGACTAGGATCCCAGCTACCCTAAACATAACCCTAAATGGCCGGTTTCTCTGATGAGCTGCAGTAGACTTTGTGAACTGGGATGTGATCACAGAAATATTGCTTTCAGATGTTAAGCTACTCTTTTCAGGGAACTTGGAGGGGGATATTTCACAAGATTCATCCGTGACAGTACTAGCAGCATCACTACCAGCAATTGTATCCTCTTCTACAGCTTCTACCTCCTGGAAATTGTAAACTAATAAGAAGGCAATCCACATAATGGAAATTGTCATGGTTTCTGCACTAGCTTCAGCTATGAACCTCTCACCTTTGATATGAACGGTTTTGATTCATGATCTTCATCTTCACAGCTCCAATCACTTGATGTCTTTCTGTAATAAGAAGGCCGAAATTCAACTGCACACTGCAGACGTATTCTTCTAGGTGCAAGACCCTGTGTCACAATGTTCTTAGTCTCTGGTTGATTTTGAGGGCGTCGAGCTCTAATTATGATAGCAGATGTCCCATTGTCAGTGCTACTGCTGGGATTTACACAATTGCTTGAATTCTGGCCGCTGTTCAACATATTATAGGATTGGCCTGTGCCAGATGAGTAAAGATGCTGTTCCGAAATTAGAGAAAAGCAACCACCTGGAGGTGCTTCCATCTCTAAATGAGCCCCTTGGTGATCAAGCTGCCACACAGGAAAACAATGTAGGTTAACCCCCTGAAGAGAAACTATGCACCCCTATTTCAACATAGAAAACGTGCAGGTTCTTTAAGGTTAAATAAATTTAGATGTATCTCAAGCACAATAACAAAAAGAATTTAGGCACACATTACATATGAACCACTTGAGATGCAGAAGAAAAGTAGAAAAATGATATGTAACAAACAGAATGACTTGGTAACTTTCACTCACCTGTCCTTGGGCCACTTCTACAAAGGCCGCACTGTTGGGGGACTCACATTCAATAGTTGAATTATTCTGATTACCAGCTTCATGACCAGAATGCTCATCTGGACTTATGAGTATAGAATTCAAGAAATCATCATAGGCATCTGGTTCATTTGAGCCATACTGAAGCTCTGCAGCACTGCAACCATCGCCCACATCATAATACATGTAAGAAGGTCTCATGTCCAGCGGTATTTGCGTGTGTATTGGGGAAAAAAGCGGGCAATCAGGTGGACCTGGTATAGGGTCACAAATCAATCTCAGGCCTTCTTCAAGCTGCCAATCCACCTGATACAAACGGACATAAGTACAAAGCAAATATGTTATAAATCTAAAACAGAGTCAGGTTCATTTTCTCACCTCTGTTGGTGGAACTTCTCCCACTTGATACCCTGAATTATCATTCTCGCACTGAATAGGGGATCCAGTGACAGCAATAGCATTCCTAGATGAATCATCCAAACAAGAATTGGGATCAGCTGGATTCATTTCAACTTGCTCTTCTGATATTGGAGATTCCTGAGCAATTTCTAACTCAGACTGCACATCACCATTTGAACCTTCAATAATGATCCCATCTTTCTTGAACAAACGACAAAGTACAAATGCACTCTGCATGAAGAAATTCAACAAATGATCAGAAACAGCATCCCACTAATACTCTATACTGAAACTCTAGTAAGGCATTGTTAACGATTGACTTGTATGCATGATGAATTGATGATTCAAGAGTTCCATTAGCATTTCTGTGTACATAAATTCATTAATGAAATGTGCAAAACATAACCAACAAAGAATACCAAAACCCTCAGTGATTGAAAGCAATTGTAATAACTCAGCCAAATAAAATTTCTCACAATGTTGCCCATGTTGTTTAACCAAAAGTTAGCAGTGAAATTTCCAGTCTTGTTACATAACAACAACAATAACAAATGAAAAGCATGCTTCATCCTCAATTACATGAAAAAAGATCCAAATTTGCTACTAGGATCTGTTTGATGTAACCAAATTGATCATCTTGTTAGGGATATTTACTCAGGAATCGTATTTATCACAAACTTCACAGGAACAATTGTGAAAGATGTAGGGGAAAGTTACCTGTCCCGGTCTGGTACCATCAAGCTCATCAAGGGTAGTGCGATACTCATGCATAACCCAATGGGTCCTCTTACCCCTGGGAGCGCGTCCCTTGTAGAAGACCAGAGTCTTCTTCATCCCAATCTTGTTTCGTCTCGACTTAATCATCCGATCCCTCCCCGTAGCCTTCCAGTAACCAGCCTTGGTAGCTCTATTGAGCCTACTCCCGTTGGGATACTTCCGGTCAAGCGGACAGAAAAAGAACCATTCCGGGTCCTGAGTAACGATCACGGACAAATCCGGCAAATCCCACGGCTCCCATTTACACACATCGACCTCCCGAATAACCCTCACCTCAGTATGCTTACCATTAATCTTCAACCGCAAGTAGTAATTAACCAATTCCTCATCCGTCGGCCGGAATCGGAACCCCAACGGCAAAGAATTCAGTGACAGTACAGCCATTCAGACAGAGAGAAAAGCGAGGAGAAGTAAAGAGTGCAGAAAAGAAATGGTTTTTATGAGAAATCCAAAACCCCAAAATTCTGATGAGATTCAAGGGGATGGCCCAATTGGGTTAAAAGGTAGGGAGAGAGAGAGAGTATAGTATTTTTCAAGATTAAAGAAGGACCATGGGAAATTTCGAAAATGAAATTACGAGGAAGGAACAGGACAATCCAACGCCTCCGTGTATCTTCCGCGTAGACGATTCCTGTGTCTGCTACCCTCATTTTTTAAACATTATTCCATCTGGAAGGGATTCGGACAGGAAGAGGATATAGTGGAGAGTGGTGTTGGCTGACGAATGATGTCCCGACACGTGCTTAAAAAGGTAAAAAATACAAAAAAACACAATATTTAGAATGTTAAATTTCATTATAAAGTTATAATATAATATGTTGTATGTATATATTTATATAATATTATATATATTTATTTTTAAATTTTGTATTATATTTATTTAGTATTATGTAATAATTATAAATTTATGATATTAAATAATTTTGTAACTATAGTATTAAAAGAAAAACCTTTACACGTGGAGATGACTAGACGAGAGAATCTGTGGACCCTTTGTGTGGTTACGAACTTCGTAACTTCCTGCCTGCTTCTGTTGTTATTTTTGGGTAAATTTAATGGAAAAAAAAATGGTGGAAAAAGGAAAAAAAATATTCTGATTTTTAAAAATACGAGGAAGGAACAAGAAAATCCAACGCGTCCGTATATCTTCCGCGTAGAAGATTTGTGTGTCAGCTACCCGTATTTGAACAGAGTAATGGTGGTAAGGATCAAAATTTAAAATTATTAATAAT